TTACCCTTCCCTCTTTCATAGGCAGTGCCTATCTATATCTGGGCTATGTGCTGTTCTTTCATATCTAATCACTTGGGACTAAAATACTGCTTAGAGAGTAAAATAAAGCAATAATTAAGGTTATTGACAAGGAAAAGAAGTATTATCTAAAATCTCTTGGTCTGAGGATAAGAATCAAGTATAAATTATTTGTTAAAAACAAGTAATGGTATGAAGCAAGAATGCTTTAAGTATTAGAAAAGACATGCTGCCTCATTTACTATGATTACATCCAGAAAAGGCTTAAATTAAAAAGAGAAGTTAAAATCATTTAGCTTTTATCTGATCTTGTCTTGCCAAACCTAAGAGTACAATACAAGGAGATCATTCATGAGTGCATTTTTGAAAGGGCATTTTTAAAATGAAGGTTTACTGAAAATGAAGGTGGAGGCACAAGAAAGCCAAGTTACCACACCAGACATTGCCCATCTTTCTTATTATGTGAGATACTTAATTATACTTAAGATGTAATTATAATATTTACTAATGCTGAAATTTTTATTATGGTTTCTTATATAGTATTAAACCAAGAGATTATTAAATGGAGAAGCAGAGACCACAAAAAGTAAATACTAATTGTGTCCCAGCCATTAGACTTGGTGCTCCTTTCCTTTTTCTGTGTGCCATTGCTCCTCTACTAGAGCTTGAAGATAGAATTAAATACAGAGTTCTCTTTGCCTTGACATGATGCATTGTATAGAATTTAGGTGTGGAACATTTTTATTTTATTAATTTTATTCAAATTAAAACAATCTTATTTTACATACCATTCCCAGTTTCCTCTCCCTCCCATTCCCCCATTCCCCCCCCACCAACCCCCATCCCACCCACCCCCCATCCACTCCTTAGGGAGTGTGAGGTCTCCCATGGGGGATTATCAAAGTCTGTCACACAATTTGGGGCAGGACCTAGGCCCTCCTCCATGTGTATAGGCTGAGAGAATATCCCTCCATGGAGAATGGGCTGTCAAAGTCCATTAGTGCACTAGAGATAAATACTGGTTCCACTGCCAGAGGCCACATAGACTGCCCAGGCCCCCCCAACTGACATCCACATACAGGGGTTCGGTATTACACTGGTTCTCCAGCTATCAGACTGGGGTCTGTGAGCTTCCCTTGTTCAGTTCAGCTGTTTCTGTGGGTTTCCCTAGCATGGTCCTGACCCTTTTGCTCATCACTCTTCCTCTCTACAACTGGATTCCAGGAACTAGGCTCAGTGCTTATCTGTGAGTCTCTACTTCTGCTTCCATATCTATGAATGGGTGAAGGCTCTATGGGTGAAGGCACTATGATGACATTTAAGGTAGTCATCAATCTCAACATAGGGGAATTTAAAGTAGCCTCTCCACTATGATTAGATTTTTAGTTGGGGGTCATCCTCTGGATCCTTGGAGATTTCCCTAGTGCCAGATTTCTCATTAAGCCCATAATGGCTCCCTCTATTAAGGTATCTCTTTTCTAGCTCTCTTTCTCTGTTCTTCCCCCAACTTGAGCTTCCTGAACCCTCATTTTTTCCTTCCCCCTCCCACTTCCCCATGCTCCCAATTTTCTCAGATCTGCAGTTTAAAGGGTTCTTACAATTATCCATGTCTGGCCTCATCTTTCTGTTCAGATAATGTGGGAAAGTCACTCCTCTGGCCCCATCTCCTGTTTGAAGACTTTACCCCCTGTATGAGAGAAGCTTGTTTTGCAGCAAAGGTGGAAAAGCAAGGGTCTAGCATGACATTCTTCTTCCAGTTTCCAGAAGTTGAGATATTTATCATGACCACCAACCTTCTCAGATCACCTAACTTACCCCAAGACTCTTTTCTCCATGAAGATCCAGAAATCAAAGTGAACACTGAGATGTTGTAGGTCAGGCTGAGAAGGACAAACATCAAGGCAGATGTGGAGAAGGAGTCCAGAACAGGGAGATAACTAATTGTGGGATGTGTCCTCGAGAGAAAGGAAACATGGACCTTGTAAAGGGCATACACTGAGAAGTCAAAATAAGGGTCCCATGAGAGCTAATCATGAAGATGTAAGCGTGCTCTGTGATCAGAGATGAGAAAAGTAAAACAGCCAGCTGGTATAAGAAAGGGTATCCAGAATTCACTGCGTCCAGTTCTCCCAAAGAGGTTTCCAAGAATTTAAAGGAAGTCTGGAATTGCTGCCGAGTTGGTCCTTCTACTAACTGCTGGCTTATATCAGTGGACACTGGATAAACACAGGATAAAGAGGGCATGGTCTATCCCCATGTCTACCTGAGACCCACCTAGGGAGAAGAGTTCCCCCCAAAGTTGTGCATGCCAATAGGAAGAATTCAATACCTAGCTTCAGCACACCCAGAGACAGAGTGCACTTCAATCCCAGAGAATAAGAGCATTAGGAGCAGACACATTTTATTATTAAACAACTTTAATCCAAATGCTGATTATTATTTGCAGTGTCTGAAGGCACAAAATATACCTAAAATGTATGGAAGAGTCTAAACAGAGTTATAAATCCACAGAGCAAAGCATGAAAAAGATACATTCTGAGCTGACACAGATAGCTGAGTTGGGAAGAATCTGGGTTTTGTTGTTGTCTCCCCCTAGAGAACTTGCTTGAGTATCAATCATTTCCCCTTATGCCAAGGGTAGGGAAATAAAAAAAAACAACATAAACATGGTAATAATAACACTGTGAGGTGTTTAGACCATCCAGGAGCATTATACTTTCCTTGCAAAGATAATCTCTTTCTCCCTCCCTCCCTCATTCCCTTCTCTTACTCTCTCTTTTTACAAACACACACACATGGGGGGGGGGGAGGGAGAGAGGGAGAGGGAGGGAGAGAAAGAGAGAGAGAAAGAGAGAGAGAGAGAGAGAGAGAGAGAGAGAGAGAGAGAGAGAGACTGTGTTTCTCTTACTCCTAAGCAAAGCCATACCGTATCCATGGTATATCAAAGAAACCAGAAACCAGGTCATCTTTGGGATACAGACAGGTGTGAGATAAGGAAAGGGCTAATGAAATGAAAACAAAACTTATACAATCTATGTACCCAGTCTAGGCTTTACCACACCCACCTGTCTCCAGTGTCCCCACTGGCTGGAGAAATGCTGAACAATCACTCTAGTAACATTAGCATTATGAATTCCTAGTAGCCAAATATACATAACCATGAACACTGTCTTTGTTCTGGTTCTCTTAGCTGACTCTGTAATACAGCCACTTCTTTTTCTCATTAACATCATTAGGGATTTTGGGAAATAAACATCCTGGGCCAGTTATGACCTTTATGAATGGATCTCTCAACTAACTCTACAAGAATACAGAGGTACAGAAAGGGCAATTGACTTTGTATTTCTCCATAACCAAAGACCAAGATCTTGACACCTGAATTTGTGGTGGAGTAGGAGCTCCATTCCTTTGGAGCTGGGTAGGGTTATGTTTTATATCCCAGCAGTGTAAGAGATCAGAGACACCTTAGTCTTCAAAACAGGAGAAAGCAACTTTAAATGATACAACTCTAATTCCTCCTGATGGATCATTGCTATTTCTACAGCTTAGTTACCCTACAAAGGGCAATGTAGAGAGGTAAGATCCTTAGGTTAGCCTATTTTTTGAAACAGGACTTGCCAGTAAATTCACCATCTTGGAGGATATATGATGCTTCCAGACAGAAGGCTCCCTGCTGTGGCTAGTTTATTGTTTGAGGACTCATGGTATTGAAAAGAGAGGAAGTCTGGAGAAAGGGCTAGTGCTGAGGTCTGGTCCTGTTTAGCCAACTTCATAAAGATCTAACGACATATCCTTACTTTAAGGACTATGGATAGTTTCATTAGGGCACAGGAGTCTTTTGTTTCAAACATTACACTGCTATGTACCTCCAAAGAGCCAAGCTTCTTCTTTATGTGGTCCCTCTTGTTTGTCCCCAATCTCCCCATCATCTGGAGAAACTTCCCCCAACTCCTTTCAGTGGAAGCCTTTTACCTGTGTCCATGATGCTTCTACTTCCTGTATTTCTAACTACACTTTTTCTTTTGCTCAAAGCAATGGACCCTAATCCAAGTGAACAGTCTTTACCTGGTTTCCCATGCCCCCACCCATACTACAATCTACATGACAAACTCAACCTATAACCAAAGATGTCCCACTCAGGCCAGTCCCACCTCCTCCTAAATGGGATGTGCCCTCTTTTCCTATAGTCTGTCACTGATTGATTCTTCTAATAGAAAAATATTTTTAAAAAGACCAATAATATGCTGTTCAAACATACTAGTATCAAAGCCTCAGAGACTGTGGCCTCAATATGGGCATCTTTTCTGAGACCTTGGGGACAGTTGCATGCTATATACTGTGACACACAGTGACCTCAGCATTTTGAGCCTGATTGTCCAGGGCCATGGAGAGGGCAGGTTACCCTAAAGCTCATTAGGGACCAGATGGGTCCACCCAACATGGGCTCCAGACTCAGACACACACTGAATCTACCCAAGGACACCAAAGAAGGAATGAGGGACTTATACGAAAAGGACAAGAGGGAAAGCTGTGGGCACAGCAGCAAGCAGCATTCTGGGCTCCTCCAGGTCTTCCTTCTTCCCAGCAGCCAGGAGCTTCTTCTCTGATGGTCCTTCCTGCTCTCGGAAAGGCCCAGGAACAGGGGGCTCCTTTGGCACTTCAGAATGATCACAAGTAATTTGCCTTTTTATTCATATAGAACAAAATTTACAAAGTCATTCATACAGTTTTTGTTGTGTTTTTTTTTTTTTTACTGACTTCGAAAATTGGGAATATTCAAAATACACTTTTACCCCACTCCATTCTGTCATTATTTACATTTATGTACAAGAAAAATGAAAGAGTCTGTGTGTGTGTCTGTGTGGTGTGTGTGTGTGTGTGTGTGTGTGTGTGTGTGTGTGTGTGTTGTCATTTTCTTGTATTAAAAAGCTCTGCTGGTCGGGTGGGTGGGCAGACGGGCAGGAGGGCAGGCGACGGTCAGGTCAGATAGAGGTGCCATGAGAGGTGTCCAGAGCCTCCGGGAGGACGCCTCCAGGCACGGGCTGAAACGACATAGGGATGGGGGTCTTCACAGGGCTCTGTCGGAACAGTCCCCCATTGGGCGACCTGTGTTTGCACTGAATAGAGGGCATGGTGGCTGAACTGCTCAGCGGCAGTGGCAGGTTGCTGCTGAGTGCTGATGACAATGCCCGGCTGGTGCCATGGCTGCTTTGTTCAGGCAGAAAGGTGCTGACTGAGAGCTGGGTGTTCTGGTACTCCCTTGTGGGCTCCAAAGCTTGGCTTGGCGCCAAGCCCCCCATCTCCAGGGCAGAGAGCTCAATGGACGCTGGAGAAATTTGCTTATGAGCAATGTCTTCATCCATGAGGCTGTTTATGCGTCGGTGTACCTGCTCCAGATTCACCTCTTTGTCCTGCAGGGAAAGTACAGGAAGGTTAAAGGACATCCTAAGAATGTGCTGAGGTCAGCTTGCTGCAAAATTTGGATACCTGAAGTACCAGGCCTATTCAGCTTGCCAGAGACAGTATCCTCCATTGGTCCCACCTTCCCTCAATCAGATAGTCAACCCTTGGCTATCTGGGGAATCCATACATAGGAACCCCAATCTTTATAAAGCAATGACCCTGTCGTCTGGCATCAGAAGTTCATTTCCTCCCCACTGCACTCATCTTAGAATTCCTGATACATCCAGGGGCAATCCCATGACAAGATGCTTTGAAGAACAGGCAGAAATAGAAGGAGATAAATAGAGTGCCATGGAACAGAGAAAATGATCTTTATCCCCTAATACGCCCCATGCATTTACAGTTGGAATTCACATCCCTCCAAAGCTTGATGCTGTCACCCCTGCTTTACACATAGAGGATCAGGTTCAGAATAATTCCACTGCCTTGTGAGTCACCCACCCCATGAGTGTTAGAGGCTAACTAGAAGTCTGATGTGGAAAAGCAACACTGTCCTACCTGGTAACTTAGTTTGTTTTTCTGTGTACAATATCTGGTTCATCCCAGAGGGTAAGCATGTCACCATTTGGCTAATAGGGCATGGGTGTTTAAATGGGGAGAGGAGCAGAGACAGTGAGGTGTCAGGAGGGTTTGAGGATTCTCAAATGGGCAATACTCATCCAAGACCCTATCTCACCACAGTGGGAGACACAACAGAAGACCTTGGGTTTGTTATCTGCCAAATAAAATAAAGACTACTGTGATTCTTCTCAAGTAAAATGATGCTATATCTTCAATGTTAAAATGATTCAAGGTGGTCACTATGCTTGAGAGCTCAAGGAAGATGTCACATGCTCCCTCAGTCCCACTCCTTACTCCAGTGAAGTGGACAAGTGTCCAGGAAAAGAGCTATATCAGCTTCCAAGTAAGTGTAGAAGCTTCTGTACTATTTGTGACTCTGTGGATGCCAATGTTCCAGGCAAGATGGTGGCTACAGCTGGCCCTTTCTGATGTCAGACTCCAAGAAAAAATATGATGTCAAGGCTCATTTCTAAAATATAATCTCTCCAGTGGTCTAGTGTTCATGGGATATGTTAGAGAGGAATAATAGAATCTCTATTTGGGTTGTGGGTATTTTAGAAATACAAAGAGGTGTAGAGGCCTTGACAGGCTTCCAACAAGAAGAAATTACCATGCAAAGCAGAGGCTATGCTTGTCATTGATTGTTTTGAGCTCCTATGGGGATAATGGACAGGGCTCCCCATTAGGAAGCCACTTGGAATCAGGAGCACAAGACTTCCTCCTTTTTTATGATGCCATTTACAAAGCCAATATTGGGAAGACTCAAGCCCACATTTCTCAGGTGGGCAAATAACTAAAGTACCCTGTAATTCACTCTTTGACCCAACAGTCTCTGGCATGGAGAAAAGTAGATCACTGCTGTCTAAATATCCATGAGTTCATAGCTGGCACGCTGGGCTTGGCTTCTGGTAAGACACGTACAGTGCCTTCCTGAACATCCCCCACAGCGAGAAAACAGACAACTTCCATAAGAAAATGTGAAACTCATTTCAGGCCAGGAAGAAGCAGAATAATAAAGAAGCACACTGGTTGGAGAGTGAGGGAACATTGTGAAAATTGGCTAGGTGTCATAAATGGAAATGACATTGGAAGTAACTCAATAACCACTGAAAAACACCCAGCATTCCACTGATCAGAAACCTCCCAGAGGTATGACTTATATCACCAGTGCTGGGAAGATGCTTCTGAGATAACAATACCTCTGAGTAGCAAGTGCCATAGGAAAAATGGGGGAAAACCAGTGGAGATGTCATCCTCTACTTTGTTTAGCTCAATACTATTCATGAGACTTTTTCTTTAGCTCCTTCACAATTTTTCAGGTGTTGGAAATAGAGATATAGGATAACTTCCTGTAGAAGAATGTCCTAGGGAGACTGGGATATGAGCATCTCTGATAGACAGAAAACAACACTGTCTACCAATGCTACAGAAACAAACATAGCTTGGTGTGGTGTCTCAACCAAAGTCCTGTGAAGAAAAATGTGAGCAAGGGAGGCCTCTTATCTGGATGCCTTCAGCATTGGCACTTAAGGCACCAAATGGGAAGCAGTAGTGGTCCAGGGTGGAGGTAGGGCACAGATAATAACTTAACCTTTTAATATAGCTGCAAGATCAAGTATCATCAAATTACTAAAGACTAACCCAAGAAATTGGTATTTTTCTCTTTTTTAATTTAAATTTTGAGAATTTTATACAATATATTTTGATCATATTCTTTCCCCTCCTCCAACTCCTCTCAGATCTTCCCCCATCTCACTACCCACACACCTTCATGTTCTATCTTAAAAACATATCAAAAGCAAAACCAAAATAGAAGAAGGCATGCACACACACACCACCATCACCCTCAACAAAAATGTGGAGTGTAATTTTGTTGGTTGGCTCTTTCTGTATATCTGATAGAAAGATCTTAAATAGTTTCTTAACCTGGTGTATTTTTCCCTGCCTCAAATTAAGGATGGATGAATCAGTTGTACAGAGTGTGAAGCCATGCAGTGCAGATCAACTCCCAATTGTGGTTATCTATTAGCCTTTAGCCTTTCTCTGTCAGGATACAGAGGAAATGTTCACACCAATTGAAGAAATTTTCCAGAGAGAGCTTCCCATGCCAAATGGCTGTCAAGAATCCAACTTCCTCAAATCACTTGGACCTCTTTCTATTCAAATCTCATTATCCCAGGAGCACCAAGACCAAGATAAACCCTGGGAGAAGAGGAGTCCATCAGGAGTATCCTGTACAAGAAAATGAACAGACTGGCATAAAAGCACCCTGACATCCCTAGAAATTGAATGCAGCCTTCCTCAGTCTCAACATCCTTAAACTGCCTGCTTCTGCCGCTTAGTCTGAGAGCCAGAACTGAGGCACAAGAAGCACAAGACCACCTTGTTTGGGGCCTTTGAAGGTTTTTCCTCTTGTATTGTCTGGGGCCACAGATTTACCACATGCAAGATCATGTCTGTTTGGATCTTGTATGTCTCTGGCCAAGGAAAGAAGAGGAAGAAGTAATCCGCTTAAGCAAGAAAAGTGGCAGGAGTGACTTGAATAATTATCCCTCTTTCAGACAAAATGATGCATTCTATAATGCTATGCAAATCAAATAATGGTTTTTTTATGTGAACTACATCAGTTTACGTCCTCATTATCCTAAGGCTTCAGTGTTCAGCCGGGTAATGACAGCTGTGGAAAGAGATCTGAGAACTTATGGCTGCCTTCATTAATCTACTGTAGGCAACTGACCTAGTCAAACATCCCTGAATATGACATAAAATTCATTGACTGCATTTCCCCATGAATCGGCTGGATTCCAGCTCTGCATTCCTCACCCCATGTTAAGGATGCCGCCAGATGCAGAAACAGAGGTTACCAGGGAACCTCTCAGGCGTTGTCTAGCAGAGATAAAGTTCTGTAATTAAGCCGCTGTTCACCAATGTGGAAATAATACAGTGTATTGGAAAACGGTAATTAACTAAACTATCATCTATGTAACAGCATGTTACACGTGGGACTCATTAGAACTGACTGTGTTTGGAATCCAACAGCTCCTACTTCAAGGTGGGCAGGAATAAAACTAGGGCTCAGGGACCTCCCACCTGACCTGGATGGTTGTTGAAAGCATTCTCTTGTTACCATTGAGACCCACCAGGTGGTTAATGGTACCCAATGGATGGGAGTGATGCCACCAACACAATCCTCTTAGATGTTGCTAAAAATTGGGTTTGGGTCTGAGAGTTGTGATTAGGTAGAAACAAAGAGGCTGAATTTCAAGACAATGAAATGAGCTCAGGGGATGATGAATCATTCTTTGAAGCATTGTGGGAGAGTGTCTGATCACTTCCCTCTCAAGTTTTTCTGGTCAGGGAAATGAGATGCAAAAACAAGCCCTTTCTTTACACATCAGGTAGGAGCAGCAGGACCCAGGGGGATAAACTGAGATTGGCAGTGAAATGACCTGCTCAAGGTGACACATGGAGAATCAAGTATTGAGACCAGTACTCATGCCCACCTAGACCCAACCCTGGGATTCTCTTCTACCATGACAGGCTCACCTTCTTCATCACAGAAGGTTCTTGTCCACTATGGCAGAAAGATGCTGAAAGGTTTTAACCCTTAGCAGGATATCAGAAATGAATGTAGAGATTTTGTAAATTATAGTTTTCCATATTCTCTTAATATGACCTTATGGGAACTGGGTCCAAGCATCTGTACTTCTCAAAAGCTTCAGAATTAAGCATCTCTAATAGGCAGCCAAAATTCAAAGTCATTGATCCAGCTGTAATGATTATACAACAATTTAACATTTAATAACATTTTCTTTATATGAGCCAGACTGGTTCATTCATTCAATAAATACGTTTGAGCTCCTATGACCAGATGAGCTAATGTTCTCAGTAAAACATTCATCTTTGGTTCCTGGCACATAAAAATTGTTCAAACTGCAATCATATTCATTACCCCCTCACAAGAGACCCCGTGTTCCAGAGAGTGGGCAAAGTGATTCAAATGCAGAGGTAAGTATATATTGGAAGGCTTGAAGCAGAGAGAGGTAAAAAAAATACCCAATAATAAAGGAGATGGGCAGTGGTCACAGGCAGAGATGGCATTGCCAGGAACCTGGTTCTAAGATATTTAGTGGTGTGTAAGTGTTCCATGCCTTCTTATTGGAAGGCCCTATGATAGGGGATGTCTTTCGGTATATATGTTTCTCTTATTGGTTGATGGCCAAACACTGTTTGGCCAATAGAAGCAGAAAGATAGATAGGCAAGACTAGGAGATGAGGAAATTGTGGGAAAGATAGGCAGGGAGGCACCAGAAGGGGACAAACATGTCTGGGCACTCTCTGGTAAGCCAAGACCATGTGGAAATACAGAGATTAATAGAAACGGGTTAATAACTAGGAGGGAGCTAGCCAATATGAAGCTTTAGCCATCAGCCTTCAGTTTAATAATTAATACAGCATCTTTGTGTTTACTTGGGGCTGAGAAGGATGGCAGGACCTGGTGGGACAAGAAAACTCCAGCAATATCCCTGTGCTAATTTCAGAAATGTATTAAACTGTCTGACAGCTAGTCTCAGTTTTCAACAGAAGATAAAACCCAGGGTTCTAAGATGCCATCCTAGACTCTGACTCCAGGAAGGACTTAGTCTCATTTCTTATTCTCCAAATCTTCTGGAAAATACTAGGTAGAAATTCATTGTTCTGTATACCCCAAGAAAGCCCAGTGTCCTTGCCCTGTGACAAGTCTGCCTCCAGGAGGTAGCAGATACAGGGAGACAGATGTGTCATCCATGGGCCAGCACTTCTGAGTAGTACTCTTGCAGTAGTAAGGAAGCCTTCCTTAATGTTGTTGACAAGGGTTTAGAAGACCGAATGCAATATGTATAGCACAGGAGTAAAGGTGAAGCAGGGTATGAAGTTGAAGCGAGGACTCCTAGTATTCAGTCACTCACAGAGAAAAAGCTTTGAGGAACATTCACACAGAACAAAGAGGATGCTGCTATGCTGCCACTTGTTTTCCAGCTACCTTGGCCTCCATCAGCCCCTGTCTGCTATGGAAACATGGGGCAAGACAAGCACAGCAGGGAGAAACAAGAATTCCAACTTCTACCCCAGTGATGGATGATTCATCCCTCAATCCTCATGTCAGCTCCCATTTGTGCAGTTCTCATCTTTATTTCATGAATATTTCATTCTCAGAGCAATGATTCCACATCCCCCATAAATCTAGAGGGTGTCGCTTTACTGCATCCCCAAGAGCTTGGTGCACTCACCTGCATTGGGTAACTACATAATTGTCTGATTCCTCAGAAAAAAAATATGAGCTCAAATGCACATGAATATTAAGAGGTTGAATGCACATTACTACTCTTCCCCCAAAAGGTGTCTAAACTCTGAAAACATCACAGCACAAGCCATTAAACACAGCATTGGCTCCACCCAAAGACAGGTTTTAAGCTCTTAAGAAATATAGCCAGCATCCCCAAACGAAACATTCCAAGAGTTTCCAGACAGCCTTGCCTAATTGCAATGCTACTCCATAAAACATGGGCCAGCAGCGAAGTGAAGGGGCTCTAAATTAAATACCTTTATTATTTCACCACACTTTTAAAGATATAATTCTAAAATAGTACCATTTCACGTCCATCCTGGTTCAAACCCCTTACCCTGGCATTGAGACATTGAAGTAGAACCAAGCTCTTTCCTCAGCCTCTTCCACTGGCTTCACCATCCTGCCCTTACTTCCTACTACCCCTTTGTTTACTCTGTCCAAAATACAACTTTCCATACAGTTCAATTTTTTCTTTACCAATTTCTCAACTCTCCACACTCACATCCTCAAGCCCCAAGAATCTTCAGTAATCACTATACACCCTAACCTCCAGTAGTCCCGCTATGTGCTGGCTAGACTAGGCTCCAGTAGTTCTCACTGCTTATGTCAGGACAGCCCAATCTCTGTGATGGAGACTGATGAGCTGTGTTGTAGCTGCGCAACAGGTGAGAAGTACCCTCAAAGGGAGGAGAGGGTCCATACAGACATGATTGTTAAAGGAAAATGGGATAAACTTCACCTGAAAGTCGACATCCTATAAAAACAGAAGAAAGGTTCCCATGGGGGGGGGGGGGGGGTGCCAGCAGCTACTGTGCTTCCCCTATGTCTCTGTCATTCTTGTTTCTGTCTGGAAGCATACTGACAGCCAGGCAGGGAGGCTCACATTGTGGAAGCACAAGTTGTTTGAAAGTGTATTCTCTTACATCAGCAAATGTGTATTTATGCAGAAGTGAAAAAGAGGTGCTGCCAAGAAGAAAGCAAACAATCTGTGCTTCTACAAGCTGGTCATCTCTTGGTCTTCTGTTTTCCTTTTGCTTGAACCTTCTTATTTATGTCTCTGTCTTTCTCTGTCTCTCTGTCACTCAGTCTCTGTTGCTCCCTCTCAATAATCCTGTGTGACCACTGCACTAGGGGGTATGAAGGGGTAAGACTAAAAGTAGACAGGGTTCTCCAGTTTTAAAAATGCACACACACACACACACACACACACACACACACACACACACACACACACACACAATGAACTTGAGTCCATGTCACTGCCCACATCAGCATAGGGAGAGATATCCCTATGCTACTGCAATGTACACCCACCTGAAAAATAACCTGACCCATGGGCCATTTGTACAGAGGTTAAGAGGCTAATTGAGGAGAAAGCCTAGACTTCAATCAAGCAAACAACACAGGTGGGGACCCAGTGTGGGTCAGCCACTGACTTTTTCTGCCTGTCCTATCTTCCCTCTTAGAGGGCCTCTATAACCACCCATCATGCCTATCTGAAGATGCTCTTATCTCCAAAGCCCTGGGGTGGTGACAGCAGGAAAGGTGCCCTGGTTTGGTCCCTTTAGTGAGTTTTCCTTAAACTTCCCCTTCTTTCCCCTCCTATGGTACAGGGATAACAACAGAGTCTTCAATTTGGTAGAAAAGCCAGACTTCCTTTTTTCTTCCCTACCTTTCCTTTCCTTCCTTCCTTCCTTCCTTCCTTCCTTCCTTCCTTCCTTCCTTCCTTCCTCCATCCATCCACCCACACTTCAGCGCTGACTCAGCAGTGCCTGCCATCCAAGAGAAAAGCACCTAGCTTACTGAGATGAGTGGTGAGTAGAGGGGCAGGGGAACAGCTATTGCCTTCCTTGTCAGGGACTCCATTGCAGACTGATGGATGAGGGTGCAGCTAGCCAATCATGGAAGTTCTCAGAAACAGATGCCAGGATGAGCCACCTTTGCTGTTCAGAGATAGCCGTTTTCAGCCCCCACCAGGCTGAGAGATAATTCAACCCTCGCCATCCTCCTGTCTGTGTTTTCTGCCCTGGTTTATTTTGCTTTTCTCCTTGACATCCCAACTCTGAAGCCAATTAATGATCTTGTATGTCACTTGAGCCTCCAGTAACAATGAAACCAGGAGCTTCAGGCAACATTCTTAATAACAACTGCTTTTGGACAGAATGCCAACTGCTTTCCAGCTTCCTATTGGAGATTTATCCCCAGAGGCCTCTGAAGAATCTATGAGCCAAAGTCCAATTCTTGATGAAGCCAGGGTGTGTTTAGCAGGCAGTGACCACAAATGGATGAACTGACTGGGTTTGTCCTATACAGATGTCTGTGTATATGTTGTGCTAGCAGAGCATCATCACACTTTTTGACACCCTCTTTTAGGGGAACTGCATGTAAGGCGTTCATTTAAAACACCAAATCAGAAAATAACCTTGAAGAACAAATACCCAACAAAATTGATGTGTCATGGGACAGAATCAGCAGTGGTTGCTCTACAAAGTAGAGAAGTATCCAGAACCTAGGGCCTGGACATAGCTCCAGTGTCTCACAAAGTGAGGGACAGAGGAAAGAGGGAGATAGGGGGGATCAGAAACCCCTTGCTTCCTGGGGTCATGGGGCCTATGGCTTTGTGTGAGACACCAAAGAGAACCAAGAAGGAATGCGGGCTCCTCTCTTACCCTACAGGTGGTCTCTCCAGGTCAGGGTGGAGGCACATGAGCGGGGCAGGGTGGGGAAGGGCTCTCTGGCGCTGCCCACGCTGTACCTGCTCTATAGATAAATACAGGACTTTAGTGGCCATGGCTGGTCCCTTGGCACTTTCTTCAAACATGAAAACACCCCCTACATTTTCTCTCTTGCTTTAAAAACAAAATGAAATATGACATATTCCCCCAACATACAATGCTGTTGTGTCTAGACAAGGTGACTCTGATAAATACTAACTAGAAGAAACCACCCACCAAAAAATAAATGGCCCTGGGAGACACCCTGCCTCTGTACAGTGGCAAGACTATGAGGACACCAACCTCTTTGGGGGTCTCCTGGTGGCACCGGTTGCTGTTCCACCACAACTCTAGGGCAGCCACAAGGCAAGCGAGAAGAAGGCCAATGGCCAAAATGCAGAAGACCCCAGCAAAGCTGTGCAGCTTAAGGGATTTGCCATCAGCCTGGGCACTGGAATGGCTGGTGAGGTCACAGCGGCCTGTGTGTGGCCACCACTTCTGCTTGAGCACATCCAGGTCCCCTGTGTCTTGCAGCTCCAGGATCCTGTAAGACACAACACAGGTAAGCCACAGCTATTAACTTCATCAGCTTAGCCATTGGGTCCAGTCAACGGCCTGCCATGCTTATCCTTGAAACATTATAATTCTCAAATTCTTCCATAGTGCATTTTGCAGCCTGCACCTAGAGTGCTTCTATTAGAACGTAGAACAATAGGCTTTTCCTGTCCCTCCTGAACCAGTGGCAAATGGTTTAGTGACAAAGTATGTCAGGTCCCTCACATCGATTGCACAGAAAGTGCTCAGGATGAACTTGGGACACACTGACTTGAACTAAACGGACCCCCAGAATGCAGATTTAGCATGCTCACAGTCATAGAAAGCTGTCAGTCAAATTTTAAAATCTGAATGTCAAGCATCCTTAATCCAAGGATCTGGAATCCAAAATACTTCAAAATCTGAATCTTTTTGTATATCTGCATAATAACATAAATGGAAATTTTCACATTTGACCTCTTATGTTTTAATAAACACAAACTTTGTTTCATGCATAAACTTATTTAAAAATACTCACATAAGATTAATTAATATATATATATATATATATATATATATATATATATATATATATAGATATATATATATATATACATATATATATATATATATATGATACATATGAAACATAAATGAATTTTGTTTATACTTAGGCCCCATCCCCAAGTTATCCCATTACATACATGTAAATATTTCAAATCAGAAAAAAAATTAATCCAAATCTAAACTTTTCTTGCCCCATCCATTTTGGAAAAGGGAAACTCCATTTGTCTATCGTGTCTGTCCTACCAGGATTCATATTAACCTTCATTCTTTCAGTTAAGAAGATTCTATACTCTGCCATGAATGGAGCTCAATGTTGCTAAGTTTGTAGTCTAAAGATACAAATGTCAACATTAAAACAACGATGGTTATCGGTGTGAAGACAGAAGCTGTGATGAACACAAGGAAATGAAAGCAGAAATGCCAGGGAGAAACACATATCAGGGGGTTCTACCTGGAGGCTTAAAGAGGGGATTCTAGAGGAGACAACAGTGAGGCATAAACCTGAAGGACAATGAATCATGAACAACTCAGAGTAGTCTAGTTGTTTCTGTGTGCAGGGCATTTCTATCCTCTATGCTTACCAGATCTTTCTGAATCCTAGATGCCAACCCTCTGGGATTGTTATTATTTTATTGTCTTACTTTATAGAGAAGGAAATCAAGGCACAGAGAAACAAAATATGTTCTCATAGGCACTTTGAGGTTGCCAACCACTGACACTGGAATATGTGTAACTATCCTGTCTGATACAAAGGACTCATAGCAGTTAATCAGCTACAACACAGAAGTGAGGCTGTAGAATGGTGAATGAGGAAGGCATGGAATGGAAGGAGTAAAACAGACAGACAGAGATGTGAGCTCTAACAGGGTGTGAGAGGGAGTCTGGGTGCATAGTGGTGGGATAATTCATCATGATAGCTTCTACCATTGCGGTGTTTTGTGCATTCCTTCTTTAACCTAGAGCTCTACACAGTGAGCCAGGGAGGTATAATGGGTGGCTTACAGATTCAAAATAGAAAAGCCCTTCCATCTGATGAGTAGTTATTGTTGAGTCTGGTCCATGGAGATGTATTTGGCTAACATGTATGTCCAGTTAATGAATTGTAGAAGCTCAACTAGATTGCTGTGTAGTCTCGGTACTGGGCTTACATCTACAGGTCTGTGGCTGGGCCTAAATACCATACATGGGTCTACATCTGAAGAACAGAAAGGGTGACAGTCTGAGTGTTCCCCAGGACCTGTTGCTATTGTGGATTCAGCATGGTGTAGCCTCTTATTGTCTGGGAAGGACCCATCTCAGTACAGAGTAGGCTTTGATCTTATCTGTGTGTTACTGGATGAGGGCCAAATCCTGCTAAGCCTCACTGATTTGTGGTTCCCATTCTAATGAGGAGGGTAGCAACTTTTTATGTTTTTCATGTGCAAGCTTAGTAGATATCAAAACAAAGGCTACTTGTTATCAGATATTTGTTCTGTCAACGAATGTGTGAATGTATTTGTTGAATAATGAAAACAAACCAAACTGGAAGGACCATGAGATTATAAAAAACATTTAGCAAGTAATCAGGGCAATGATAATACCAAAAGGCTTAGCATGTGGCCATGCCTGGAAGGACACAGTCCCCGAAGTCACTGATTTACATGTGCATTTGTGTGTTTTGTCACTGTGCCCTAGGAATATCCCTGAGAACCACAGTTCTCTGTAATGGCACAGCACATGATGAACAGGATAGCTACAGTATCCATCTCACTATCTCCCATAGCTTTGGTCATCCAGGAAAGCTATGTGACTGTCCAAAGTCTCTGGTGGTCGAGATGAGTAGGGGGAGCTTAATGTAAGTTACAGAGAGTGACAAACAGCTATTGAGGCTGTCCAGGAGGCTCATCATGAAGAAATCGGAGCTCTGTGCTTATAGATACAGATGTGCTACTGATAGATACTATTTCTAACCTGGATTTGGCACCTCTTGGCCCTAGCTCTCTCATCATAAATATCGGAGATTACATAAAGGTACCCATCTCAGTGGCCATTTTCACAACCTGGAAGTAGTAATGGAGTTCATAAAAGCTAGTCCGTAGTTGTGCAGTCCAATGGCCATAGTGACCAACTTCTTATCAAGTCCATCTTCCCAGGAACCACCTCCTATTGGGAGAACACTGTAGGGACAAATCATTTACACTGCTTGAGTCTGCCTAACTGCATGCAGAGCAGTGTTTAATGTGCCTGTCTTACTTCCTGAAGGTCTTAGCACAAAATCTACCTGACTTGCCCCAAGCTGAAATTAGAAAATGTCAGTGCTATTCTTCAGCTCTGGGCCATTACTGATCTGGGAGGCCATGATCTTTCTGTGACAATAGGCTGTTATCCAAGGTCAAGTTCTGATGTGGGAGACAGTAAGACCCTCAAAAGACCATAGGGTCTAATCTCCTCAGTTTCTGGGCAGCACCCAGCATGCTGCTTGCATTTTTTGACCTTTTCTCCTTTCAAATGCATGCATCTTATATGGAACATCTTACTTCAGAAAGAATACATGTCAATTTACAGGAAAATACAGAATAAAACAAACAACAAAACAAGAAAGTATAAATATAAAAGTAACAGGACAAACAAGTCATGTGCACAGAGTGCCTTCAGGAACGAGGCTAAACTAATGTACACTATAACAATCTATACTCCTACTTATGAGGAACCAGAGCGATAATAGCCATTTCCTGAAGCCAGTTGTTCTATTTTCCAGACAGATATAATTGCAGGTGCTTTGCTTTATTCAATAGTTGTGGAGCCTGCTACACAGTAGGTGCTCAATAAATGGCTATTAAGTTGCTAAACATTTATTGAATGCCCACTCTGCATGCTGTGGTCTGCAAAACTGTTAGACCACATAACCCCACACCACACACACTTACATCTGTATCTTAGTCTCTGCCAAAGCAAATAAATAGTTTGACTCTGAGGATGAAGGGAAAGACAACCATAGAAATTCAGATAAGCCTGGGATCTACTAGTTATACAGTGTAAGCCCTTATTCAAACTACATAGTCTGTAGCCCCTTGATTTAGCCCCTTCATTTCTATGAGGCACATTCAAGGTAAAGGCAGTTTACAATGGTCTTGAGCCTCTTCTAGACTTGCTGACAGCATAAACTTAGAAATAAAGACTGGAGAACTTCCCTAAAGGGCAGATACCTGTCTGTTGGAAGGAGGGATGCTACCAGCTCATAGGGAGGCTGCACTATATATGGAGACATATAACAATACTGCAGGATGTCAGCATAGCCCTTGGAACCCACAGTCTTATGATGAAACTAAGAGGGGTAAATTATTTCTTGAAAGAAGGATATGGAGTCTGGATATTTCAATTTTGTTTATGTAATCACTGGAATGGCAGGAAGAGGCCACAGAGTCCCAAGAGGGATTTTCATAAGGACTTCATAGCAATGCAGTAGAAAGATCAGTGTAGACCTATTTCACAGCTAGCCTCCTCTCTGTAGCCCCCACCCTGCCCCCATGCTGGCTGTGGTCTACTAACCTATGAAGTCATATAAAGGACATCTACCTCCTTCTACCGTAAGCATTACAGCCTGGAGGGAAAGGTATCCCTACACTCGGGAGCCAAAGAATACCACAAAGTCCCATCACACAGCAAATCTCACACAAGAGATTTATTGGGAAGGAAAAAAACAGTAGGGTGGCCTCTGCTTGGGCAAGAGGCAAGAGAACTGAGCAAAAGAAAGGACTTACATTGAGGTTCTTGGGGAGGGGCATAGAACTTTCCAGGGTGAATATTAGTGGAATTTCAAGTCAAGCAATTGGGCTTTTTACTCTGCAGGGTAGGGGCAGGTTCCAGCAGTTAGAATGTTCTATGGGTGGAACCTGACAGTTGGATGTCCACTTATATCTGCATTAAGCAAGATGGTAGTGGAGGAGAGCAACACTACTTTTCCTGACTCATGTCTGTCTTTTCCATCTCTAGAATTTTCAATTTTCCTTGAGGATTTTCAGCTGACCAAATCTAGGTATTCCCATCTCATTGCTGTGCTAACTATTTGACCACACATTAGAGATCCAACCTTCCTAGTCAACATCTTTTCATTCTCTGGTATATTAACAGTATATTCACTCATTTTTGCAAACTTACAGAAGAAAACTAAGCAGTGTTAGCCCATGGGCCTCCAACTTCCCACTAATGGGTCCCAAACATTCATGACCAGTGTCTTGAGACTCACTGGATGTTTGGGTGTTGTTGCTACATTGATCTTATGGGTTCCCTTATCATTTGCTCTACAGAGATCTTTTCAGGCTGTCTGTGCAATCACCTTGAACCTCCCACCAAAGAAAATCATAATGCATAAACTTCAGAAATGCCATTGAGTTCTGAATCCTGAAGAGAAACCACACTTTTCTTCACACCTTTAATTTGAGCAAGTGAGAAATACTTCCTCCTCTTTTATCACTGCTCTCCACTCCAGAGGGCAGAGCAAGGTACAGAGTGTGTACTTGATGAAGTTCTGGAGAGAACCTGAAGCCTCACTTACCTTAATTGCTGCTACCCCTTCACTACGTTTTGCAAGCATGCTACTGAATAGATGGGTTGCAAACCCTCCCTCTCAGCCTTCCTTGGTGGTATTGAGGCTTATTGATCCTGGGAAGGAGGATCCAATCTAGAAACCCAGGATAGGACAGGAGGTAGGGTTTCCAGATTCCAAAGAAACATGGATCAGCATCAGAACTCAGGAGGGCTGGAAGAGCAAGGTCCAGAACTCTCTTCTTTTCTCCCTGAGTTGTATGCAGCGTGGAAAACAGATGGTCTTCAACAATTGTCCTATATCAATCTGGATATGCTTCAGGTGGACAATACAAGGATGCTGGAATTCATGTATTGATTAGGCAGCTAGTGGCTATCCCTAAGACTGCCACTAAATGGACCTGCTTATGACAATGCTCCAGCAATCTCTTGTTGGTTTTGATGGGACAAGGCAGAGCCTTCTCTTAGAACATCCTCAGTGACTGCTATTTTCATTCTTTAAGTCAGCAGGGTGCCACATCACAGATATGTGCAATGAGGGCCCAAGGCTGGACCTCCCTAGAGACAATAAATAGTGTTTGCTGGTAAGCTGGCTACTAGAAAACAACCATTAATTTACCTATATCCCTCAGCTCTATCTTCCCTGCTTAAAGCTGGATCATTCAGACCATAAGAAACTACTATGACAGAGAACTAGCATGAGAAAAGGAGACAGAGTAACACTTAAGAACTTCATGCCCAGGAGTGTAGAGCTAAGTGGGCTCAAGGGACAAACTTATGCTAGAAATCACAAGGGAGATGAAACACCAATGCAAAGTAGACATGCTATATTGGTTTCTGATGGAACCACCCATTCAGCTAAGTACTTAGCCCTACCTCCCCTTTCTCCACAATTCTCCCGAATTGCCCTAATATTAATGAGCATAAATCAGAATTAATTAACTCTCAGAAGATGGCACTGAAACCCAGAAGCCTATGGTTTGATGTGGAGAGAGTGGGGGATATGGGAAATGAGAGTTTGTCCTCCTGTCACAACAAAGAGCCAGGTACATCCCTTGCCCCAGTAGACAGCAGCATCTCCTTCAGCCAGGAAATTTGATCCAAGTCCATAGGCCCCATCAGGCCACATGTGATGCACATGGAGAAGTCGGATTCTCTCACTCTATTACTTTGCATCTCCACATGGATGACTCACACTTTGAAGATATACTTTAAAAAGAGATTGCTAGGCCTCCCCAGATCCTACTCATTATTCATTTATCTGACTGACTCCTATGTTCCTCTGGTATCACTAGCACTGAGATGTCCTTCTGAATCTTATCAGATTCCATTTTCTGCTCCCTCCCAATCCCCAAAAACCATGAGACTCTGTAGTGGTATCACCTACACATGTCAGAGTTCCACCCACACTATAGCCTTCCTGGAAAAGAACCATAAACTTCCTCTTTTCATCCCAGTGCCTATGCAAGATCTAGGAGGAGGTGTAGAGGAAAATATATTGGTACACCGGTAGTGCTTAGGAAGACTTGAGAAATAAGTGAATTATTCTGGCTCATATGTCCTAAGAGGTGGTTATTCTTCTACCCCAGCTGCCAAGGTCCCCAGGCCACTGGAATTGTCTTGATGACTGTGCCTACCTCTGGGAGAAGAGGTCCCTGTAGGGGCTGCCATGCTGCAGGGCAATCCCGTAGCCCTTGCTGCTGATGCTGTTGCCGATGACAGTCACTGAGCAGTCGTCATCTGTCAGGGCTGCATACTCCACCACGGCCACATCCCACAGAAAGGCGTAGTTCCCCTTCTTGGCCTGAAAGACCCAAATCACCATGAAGTCCAGCATGGCTATTTGGCTACAAGATTTTCAAGCAGTGTGGCATCTCAATAGTTGAGTTTGAGGGGCCCTTCTAAGTGGTCCCACCTAAGTGGGACAACAAATTCTGCACAACAAATTCTCCTAGTATTTTCTGACTTATAAATATAGCACCAGTTGATACCATTCATCTTAGTAGATCCAACTCTAGTTCCTAGAGCAGGTGAAATGGAAGAGTTGCAGGTGGGTCACAGAGACACTGACCCATTTCTCACATTCTGACACTCACCTCCTGAGGGTGAAGAGAGTAGTGCTCAATGAACTAAGATTTTCAGAGCAGAATTGTAGGGGGCACATGATAGCACCACATGGGTGGGGAAGAATCTCTTTCCTGGGGAATACAGATGTTTGGGGACTGTGATAGATCTTGTCCACCAACTTTTATTAAGAACCTAACTGCTAAATCCTGCTTACCATGAACATGAGTATGGGTTCAGTGCCCCTGGATGGTCATGGTGGCATACCAAGCAAAACAGCATGTTAGAGTTTGCTGTGCATGGTAAAAACCAATTCAGGATAGGCACCTGATGGTTCAGTAACACACAATGCTTCTGCCACTTGCCTTTAACTGCATTTACATGAGGAAAATCATATGCACAAATACATGCATTCGCATGCAATGCACACACATGTTTGCCTTTTACTTTTTTTGTTGGCAGGGGTTGGAGGGGTTGAAACAGGATCTTGCTGTGTTGGCTTTCAATTTGATCCTCCTGATCTGGTCTTCAGAGTGCTGGGATAATAGGCATGGAAAACTGTGCCAAGAATGCCCACATACATCTGTGCTGTAGTGTGTGTGTGTGTGTGTGTGTGTGTGTGTGTGTGTACACAAAGGAAGACACTCATGCACATATGTGTGCACACACGTGTGAATGTCATTCTTACAGTGGGGAAGTTTTCTATCTAGCATTAGTACTTGCAAACAGTGTGATAGTTGCAGATTGTTCCTTTGGAGGTCTATCCACATCCCCAGTGGAAGTTCTACCCTTCAAACCCTTCCACAGCAGACACTCAGTTCTATCTGGAGCCACAATTCTAACTTTGACTAGAATTTGGGCACTCAGGAAGAATGTGAACAGCTTTTCTTCTTCAAGGGGAACATTGTCACATGGCTTTCTTAAAATACCATTTAACATTCTATCAAAGGACCTTGTTTCCATTGTCTGTTGAGCAGAAGGATGCTTCTTTCCCTGTTGTCCCTCACATTATGGCTCACCCCAGATGCTGTAAAGCATAGGCATAGGATTGGTAATAGGGCTTAAGAGCCACAAACAAAATTAAGCAAAACTGGCCAGCTGTAGGCTTCTTGGCACTGTCAAGGGCATTATTCCAGTTCCTGATTTTGTTAGTTTTTCATTTCCCCTAAGATTCTCCAAGAAGTATATGCATGCTCAGGCAAAAATCAGGCTTTTACTTCTTTGGATTTTTCTTTTTCTTTTGGGTGGGGGAGATTGGGAATTGAGAAAGGATCTTATTATGTAGCTCAGGCTGGTCTTGAATCCATGATCATCCTGCCTCAACCTCCAAAATAATGGGATTACAAGCACAAAACACCACACCTAGCAGGACTTTTTTTTTCAAGACCCTAAATGCCTATGATCCAAGATGTCTTATTTGCCCATCATTCTTTCCATCAGAAATATTTGTGGGTAGAATGTGACCTCCTGCATCAGGAACTGCCTTCTTGCAGCCTTTCCCACAGCCCTGTAAGAAATGACACACACCTATGCCACCCATTGCTTTTCACCTGGGAAAGCAATTCAAATATTACACCAAGGCATCATTCCTTGGCCAATCCAATCTTAGAAGTCTTAAAATACGTTGACCCAGGTTGCAAAATTACACACATCTCTCTCCCTCCACATTGGAAGATAACAGGCTTTGTAATATTTTCCCGCTGGCAAACAAGTTTTTCCTTGAAAAGACATAAATTTTCAACCTCTTAGTACCAAGTTTATCTACAAAATGTTGACTTATGACCTAATATTTGGCTTCAGTCAGACTAGGGAGCGTTTCACATCCATGCTCGCAATTCAACATGACAATCAGGCACGGCTATTTGTACGATTTCAAAAGGGCATGTCATGTTGAAGGAAGAATTAAGATCAGCTTCCTTTCTACCTCTCAAGTGATGTTACAAGAAGAAAATAAAAAAGAAAGAAGCTGGCTCAGGCCGACTGGAAACTGACTCTAGAAAAGCCCCTGTGGGCATTCAGAGGGGTAAACATCTGGAGTCCTTCAAGCCACATAGGGAAAGCCTGCATTTACATCCCTGTTGGACTAAGCTGGGCAGAACACAGCATCTGAAAAACGTGCTGGCAATGCCCCTGCCTCCACTCCATGCTACAAACTAAGGCTTTTCTCGGCAGGTAAGAGCAGGTAAATGATCCCAGAGACTCAATGTCCCCATTTAGTCAGTGTTTACTACTAAATTTAGTACTAAATTTACTAAATTTAGTTTTTACTGACTAAATTAACCAGGGTCCTTCTTGTTTGCTTGAGGAAACATGTGGCTAGATCCACATGACAGTACCATAGCATGAGGACAAGTAAAAGGTAGTAGGACATGTGTTGTAACAGAACCCAACTGCAAAGGAGAGACCAGATTCTGGATCTTTCTGTACAACACATTCTTAGCTTTAAAAAAATTCCCGTTTTGACTTCCTCAGCACCCCTGGAATCTCATGGCCCACTCCCTCAGGCTGATGAGGGGTAAAATGTAGCACCAAAATGTCCTCTCCAGGAGAATTTTCTGGACCTTGCAGATATCTTCATAATCTTCTGGTGTATCATCAAGGCTGTATGAGACACAAACCATCTCCAAAGTGACTTCTCAATGTGAACATTTCAGAAGTAACATCAAAATGGCCAGAGAGATGGATCAGCCAGTAAAATGTCTACAAGCATGAGGACCTTCATTTAGATCTCTAGCACCATGTATAACGTCATGGACCTATAATACCATTGCTAGAGACAGGAGGTTCCCTGTGCCTTGTTGGCCAGCCTGTTTAGCCCCATTGGTGAGCTCCAGGTCTCAGTGAAAGAGATTCTTTTTTAAAAATGAGATGGAGAGCAACTGAGAAAGATACCTGGTAATAAACTCTAGCTGCCACACACACACACACACATACATACATATACATGTACATATGTCAAGGCATTCATGCCAATCATAGCTCTGTAAACTTCATGCAAACCCCATTCTTGATCTTTTGTAGAATTTATACCTTTCACAAAAACAAACAAACAAATAACAACAACAAAAAACAGGATGCAATTTCTGTAGAGTCAGAATAAATTTTCCACACACATTCTAATAATTATGAGTCTACCTCCTTATTTGATGCTGCTTGGACACAAGGTTGGTTTGATCATAAGGGGACACCTAATATTTCAAGTTTCTGAACCCCAAAAGAGCTAAAACTCTTCTATTTTTCCTGTTCTCCCTGTCACAACCACTTTTTTTGAGTGTTTTGTTTGATTGTAAAATGTTTCCCACAGGCATGTGTTTTGGGTATATATCCTAGCTAGTGGTGCTGTTTTAGGATACTTTGGAACCTTTGTAAGCTGGGGCCCTGATGGGTGCATAAGTTAACAGCAGCAAGCGCTGGCTTCTACCTTGCTCTCCACTTCTCAGCCCACAGTGGTGTGAATGTCCAACACCCCATGCCGCTATTAGTGAGCTGAGGCATTCTGTCATTCTTCCTCAGCTCATGGAACCGAAATCCTCTGTAACTGAGTGCTAAAATGTGTCTCTCCCTTAAGTTGCCTGTGTCACAAAAGTGTGAAGGTAACTTATCCATCAGCCCAGTGTTTCTTTTCACTCTGCTACCTGACTCAGCTTCCCCTTCTGACTCACTGTCTTGTCAAGTCTCTGGTTTGCTTGATGGTGTGTCTACACTCTTCCTTCACCCTCCATGCCTGAAGCTCAGTTCCAGAAACCACTCATACTAGGATAGAGTTCCAATTACTTATTTACAGTGACTTCTTTCAATAAGGGATGGTTTTGGACTCTTGAGAAGACCATATGGAAATAGGAATTTAGCCTGTTTTCAACTGTACAACTTTCACAAAGGAGATGAACCAAGTCACCTCTGCCCCAGAGTCCCTACCCTAAATGTCCCAATGGATCTTTGAATTCACTATTCTTATCACTTCCTGTTTTTATTTCCTTCTGCCTGTGTCTCTCAGTATGGTCCTCTTCCTACTTCCCAGGAGGCTGTGACAAGTTAGGGAAGGCAGTGTCTGAGAGCTGGCATGGCAGGCAGTGAATGGCTTAGAAATAGAGTGTTGACATTATTTCACAATGCCTATGAGATCAAAGCGATACTACAGGTTTTTGTTCTACCATTAAAACAAAACCAATCCAAAAACATATTTTACCCTTTCAGTGAGTTGAATTACCTTTATCTGGCAGTCCATTTATAATATCAAATGTACTCTGAATTTCTAATCACTGCTTTACACGTATGATTCAGTTCCTCAAAAACTGGGCAGCAGACAAGGCTGTCAAGGCAGTCTGATGTTCCTCTAGCACTTGCCTCTATGCAAAACTTAGATGGGCATGCACAGCCAGCTCCCCCAGTGTCCCATGACCCTGGAAATCACTCTGGAATTCTGGGACACAGCCCAAGCTTCTTTTAAGTATGGAAAAAGGAATTTGTAGATCGCTGTTTTAAAAAAGGAGAGATGGCAAAGTTAATACTGCCTTGAAATATAATGTGACTACCTCTACAGTATTATTTTTAATTAATAATGACCAATATCAGTGAAATTATTGCAAAATGATATTATCTTTCATGGTTACTAGCACCAGAAAATGATAGTACTTTGGAATGTAATGTAGCATCATATAATGTGGACATTTAAAGTTATTGTATCTTTTATCCTGGCAAATTGTAATTTAACCTAAAAAGCAGCTCAATAATCATAACTTA